TTGGTTGCTTGCTAGAATAAGTGATTAACTGTTTGGTTTTTTTTTGATCAGTTAGTTTGGCAGAGATTTTGATAATTGTTTAGTTGATAATTAGCAGCTAAAAGGTGAAAAAAGGACCAGGAACTATGATTAGTCAGTAAATTACTGAAAAAGAGATAATAGGGAAAAAGAACTACAGAAACACAATGTTTGGAGAAAGAAATAATTGTTACTAACTTTGTAAATTTAGACGAGATCATCATTTCCTGAAAAAGTTGCTAATATTAGTAACTTGAATTTCTTAGTATAAACAATTTTGTTTACTTATGTTTTGTTTCCAAGGATCGTACTGTATAACCACTAATAACCTAACTCATTTGTTTCTGATTGTTATGATGGTTTTTACTGTAGACGGGGATTTCTTTTCCTACACTAAACTTCACCCTGTGGGAGTTTGTGGCCAGATTATCCCGGTATGTTATTATTTTATTTTATGTTGTTTTTTTTTTTCGTTTTATTATCATTGATTATTTTGTTTATTCTATATTAAAACACTTTGTACTAACTCTTTCATAAGATGCAGTTATAGCTGTTCGGTTTTCAAAATGTCTTTTATTAAATATTCTTTAATGGGGAACCTTGTGTGAGGTTTTGGTGCAGCAAAACACAAAGAAATTTCCTGAGGTACATGTATACAGCGCTTACACTGGATTTTCTAAAGATACACTTTAATCCCAAAAAGCACGTTTAACTCCTTTATCTATAAAAACAACTCCATCAACAAGTTCATAAATTTTTGTCTCAGTAAATTTTAACAGTCCAAACCTTTTAACCAATTGTGTAACTCAGCATAGTTGTATATCAAAGATTGGATGACAAAGAGGCATTTCTTTGATTTTTTTTTTTTTTTTTTTTTTGTGAATTTGTGTTAATACAGTGGAACTATCCCCTGATGATGGTAGCTTGGAAGTGGGGACCAGCTCTCGCCTGCGGCAACACAATTATAATGAAACCTGCAGAACAGACGCCATTGACAGCCCTCTACTGTGCCGCATTATCTGTGGAGGTGAATCGTATCTGTTATATTAAATTTCAGCTGTATCAAGTGCAATTTTGAGACAGCTGATAAATGTTTTCTTTTAGTACTTTTAAATTAATTTAACATCATATTGGAAAATAACTCAGATGTGTTCATATGATAATGGTATACCTAAAGATTTATATTAAATGGTGTCATACAAAAATCATTCCACTTTGATACAATAAATGAAAAATATACACAAAGATGACCTGAAAATGGTAATATGCAAATACATTCTAAGCATACTTATTTATATGCTGTATTTAAATTTAAGGCTGGTTTTCCCCCTGGGGTCATAAACATAGTCCCTGGGTATGGCCCCACTGCAGGAGCAGCCCTGGCAGAACACATGGATGTGGACAAGATAGCTTTCACTGGGTCCACTGAGGTGATTCTTCTTTTCTTCTTCCTCCTCTCTGTCTCCATTCTACAGACAGGAGCTTTTTTCCGTAAAAAATGTGGAATTCCGATTTTTTTAATTCAATTCTGATGATTCCTGAGATTTGAAAAGATCTGTCATGATAAATGTTC